TGCACTTTGGGGCTTATCTCTGCCATCACTGATGGCTCTCGAATGACCCCCTGTGACTGGATTGCTCTGGCTAGGACTGTTCTGACCCCAGCTCAGTTCTCTGTATGGCGATCAGAGTATACTGACCGCTGTCGCTGACAGGCCACAGAGAACTCCAGGAACGGCCGCCCAGTGCGGCTTAATAAGCTACTTGGGTCAGTATGAAGCTCCTGATGAGCAGGCTAGAATGGATCCCCAGGTTTCAATTCAATGCTCCCTAAAAATGGTCCCGGAAGCTAAAGTCCAGGGACCTGGCTCCTTTGCTAACATTCGACAAGGGGTCAGGGAAGCCTATCTAGACTTCGTTGACAGATTACAGGAAGCAAAACAGAAGCAAGTTGAGAATCTGGTGGCAGCTGAGACCCTTCTATTGTGGTTAGCCTATGAGAATGCAAATGATGATTGTAAAGCTGCTCTCACCCCGATAAGATCAACTGCTACCAAATCAGTCAATTCATTAAGCCCTGCCAAAGGGTAGGCTCGGAGCAGCATCGTGCCTCGCTCTTGGCTGCTGCCATTAAAGGAGAAATTAAGTGCTTTGACTGTGGCGAGCCAGGCCCTGGGCGCAGGGACTGCAGAGCCCCTCCGCAAGTTATTTCAGGGAGACCCCCCCGATAAAGTTTGCCCACGTTGCCGTCCAGGCAGACACTGGGCCCACCAATGGGAATCTCGTTATGGCAAGGATGGTGAACCACTTCATAAAGGACAGTGGGGCGGAAAGAAAGCGGAGCTAGAAAATGGGAATACAACACTTCCCAGCTGCGAAAACGGGCTTGCAGTTCTCTCAGGTGCAGCAGGTCTGTCTCCGGCTGCTCCGACAGCGTCTTACGGCTGCGGGCTGTCAGCAGACAGGAAAGGAATACTGTCCGTGGTTCCCTGACAAGGACTCACTAGTCATGAAGCAATGGTAAAAGGTAAAAAAAGAAATTAAATTGGCTTCAGAAATTTTGACCATCAGAATCTTCTTACTTGGAGCTTGATAACAACTACTTTGGCTCCTTTGCATATTAAAGCATCTGCAGCAGGGGACTTGCCAGAAATCAACTGCTTTTAGTCCTGAATAAAAAGTATTGGTTTTTCAAGGTTTGGTGTTTTTTGTTTTGTTTTGTTTTGATTTTTTTGTGAATCTAAATAAGTGACTAAATATATAAAGCAATTGAAACTCTTTTATTAGTTAGCCTACGAGAACGCAAATAATATTTATAAAGCTGTTCTCAATTTTATCAAGCTAACGACCATTTAACATCAAGTCAATTTATTAAAGTTTGCCAGAATGTAGGCACTGGAAGCCACTTAACTTGCTGTGGCCATTAAGGAAGGATTGTGTAGGGGAAAGGAAGGAAAGAGAAGGAACTGAAGAAAGTGAAGGATAGGGAAGGAGAAAGAAGGAAATAAGAAGGTTAAGGATTGTGAAGGAAAAGACTAAGAAGGAATAAAAGAGATATATGCTGTGTCCATGTATGGTATGGGAAAGAAAGATATTAAAAATAGAAAATAAATGAATGAAAAATAAGTATAAAAGTTTTTTGAAACACCGTAACTTCCAGACCTGGAAGTGACTAGGTCATGAAAACAATAAGGTAATTAAACTTGCTAATTCCTACAAGAAAGGTGCCTGCTTCTACAGGACTGAAAGAAAAGAAAGTGTCACTTTTAAACTCAGGTGGTTTTTCAGCTGCGCCTGAGGCCTGAGGCCTGCCACCTCAGCCTGCTTCCAACACTGATATCGGCAAGGTTGCATGGCAAAGTCAACTGAAGAATTTTTAAACAAATGGAAATTCAAAACAGGAATCTCTTATAATCTTATCTGTCAAGCAATTATGGAGTGCATTCATCATACCTTTAAGTCTCTCCCCCAACAAACAAAAAAGGGGGAGTCAGGAGTCCTCCACTAAAAATTTACTAAAAATGTGATTATGATAACCATGAATACCTGTAAATTTTATTTGTGACAATCACTTAATATTCCACTAGAGAAACAGTTTCACTGGAGGAAGTCTGACAAAGGGCTTCATCCCTTGGTATTTTATGGGGACCCCCTAGGAATGGAAACTGTGAAGGACTGACAGAATTACTAACCTGGGGGAAGAGGGTATGTTTGTTTTTAAGTCTCAACAGGACCCAGCGTCCGGAGGACCTGACCAATCAGCTATTCCAGATCGTCATAACCAAGAAGGATGCAGACCTGCCGCCAGAAGCTGGAGACGTTAATAATCAGGACCCTCCCAACCCCTGAAAATCAGTCTTTAGCATATCTTTCTCTGTTTTCTGCCAACCCTGTGGAATAGCCATTGGCTTTATTCTGCTATGTTTGGGAAGCTCACAGGTTGCAGCTGATGATCAGTTTACTTATTGGAGTCACGTTAGACCCACCAGTGTTTACGTTACACATCTGGTGGAATCCAGAACCTCCATTGTCCAATAATGACACCAAGTGGACGGGAGGTGCTTGGCTCCCCCTTGATGGGTCTCTGCAAAGGGAGACATTGGATGATCGTCCCAAATAATACTGTATACGTTTCGGATCATCTGCCAGCATGTTTTTCTACCTTGCCTGACATGCTGTGCCTGCCTATATAACCTTTAAATGGTATGCCTATGCCTTAAAAAACGGAATTCCAAACTAATATTTCCTTAATTGGATCAATAGGTTTTGACAGAGAATGTGACGGGAAAGATGCATATCCTCCAGATATACCTATGTGTGAATTTAAATCCAGGCCTGATAAACCAATTGTCTGGTCCCCTTGTAGGGATCAAACCCCTTCCTTCATTGACATCCCTGGTACCCCACTAGTAGCTGAAAATTGGGGTGCCAGATGGAGAGTTTTTGGCCTTAATGGTTTGGCACAAACCCCTGCCGAACCTGTCAAATTATATTCTGACATAAGTTGGTCTGGAGAAGGAACGGGAGCACCTGTCATTAGAATTCTTTCTAAGAATCATACCAGTCTATGACATACTAACACCTGGAAAATGGGACTCCCATTTATAGAAAGAGCTTTAGGTCAATTAGTATATTGGAAGCACAGCACCGGAAAAGGATATATTATCTGGGAAACTAATGATTCCTGGGTTACGGTCTGTACTTCCCATCCTTACTTGTTTCTAGCCATTCCAGGAAAGCCTCAGTTGTCCTTTAACAAGGAGTCCTGGACATATACTTTGCAAGTTATTCCTGGATCTATATATGCCAGTTGCCTCACACATGCTAATGTGACCTCCCTTAGGCTTACTTCCATTTTTGTCATACGGAGGCAAACAGAAATCTGGCTGCCTGTGAATGTCACCCGAGAGTGGCAAGACCCAGGAGGTCTAGCAGCCCTAAATCGGGCCCTTGCCCAGATCAGAGTAAAACACTTTGTAGGCATGCCTGTTGCTTGCATTGCATCTGCTATTGTTGCTGCCTCTGCTGTGGCAGCTGGCACTGCCCTTGCTGAGTCTGTCCAAACTGCTCACACTGTTGATAGTCTTCTCACTACCATGACACAGAAAATGATCAGCAAACAAATCGATTAGGAGATCCTCACCAGGCTTTCAGCTGTGGAATCTGCTGTGATGTGGCTGGGAGAATGACAGGATGCAATTGTCACCCGCCAGCAGCTCACCTGTGATCCAGGCTTCTCCAAGCTGTGCGTCACCCCACTGCAATGCAACTCCAGCCAACACTCTGGGGTGGAAGTGCAACATCGCCTTAGAGGGGCCTTCTCACCCAATCTGAAAGGCCAGATCGACCAGCTCCAGCGTGAGCTGCGCCAACAACTTCAGGATATTAAGAGACTCTCTACGCTATAAATTGTCCAAACTCTAAATGACAATTTGCATCGGCTTGATCCTAAGATTTCGTTTGAGGGTCCGAACCTCCATGTATGGGTCATGGGCGCTGCAATATGTTTATTGATCATCATTGCCTTCTGTGCCTTGTGATGCATTTACAAGCTGTTCCACAGAGACAGAGTGAGGGAAGAACAAGTAGCTAGTTTTGTTGGACTTGCCTCAATGTCCGCTTTAACAAACAAAAAAGGGGGAGATGTTGGGAAACGCCCGGCCTGGTTTCAGGAGCTATAACCCTGCTACAGGCTGGAGGGCCCCAAGGCTGGGAACATTCAGGAGGCCTTGGGAAAGCAGGCTCCTGAGGAGACTTGGCCTGTCCCACCCTGGCAGGGGCACAGCCCCTGCCTCTCTGCTTTGCCATGGATGGTCAATTAGCCCATGACGGGTAAGACCCCTCGGGGGAGGGGCAACCTAAGACAGGTATTGGCCGATTTTTGGCAGCAGACCAGAAATTGGGGGACACGGAGAAGGCGCAAAAAGGCCCCTGCGCCCCCCGGCTTGGCTTGGACACGGCCGGAGTCCTCATTGCAGCCGAGAAGCAGTCTCCTTCACCCTTGGTGGCTCCCTCCCCGTGCCTGGCTCAGGCTTGAAACAGTGCAGGAAAAACAGCCCTAAATCAGATCTGGCGGGGCCCGGGGTCATCAGGCCTAGAGGTAAAGTCTTTAGAGCGTGCTCTGTTCCTCCCTCAGATCTCTGGTCAGCTCGTGCTGCGAAGGACCTTTATTTACACCCCTTACCTTGTTAAGACATTTGCTTTATTTACACCCCTTACCTTGTTAAGACATTTGCTTTATTTACACATTTTACCCTATGTCTTTAAGGCACCTTTAAGTCTACTCTCCCCTTATCTATAGCCTCTATTGTTGATTCGGGTCTCCTCTCGGACCCACGTAAATCAGTGTATTCCTGTCGCTTGTCTTCTTAAAAGCATCATATATTCACTGTGAAACTTACCATACTGATGTAATGACATAACGTATGCCTTCCTGTTACATACCCCACTGATAAGATTTTCAACAAAAGCCTTGGAACAAAGGACAACGGGGCCTTCCTCACTAGAGGGATGTGCCGCGGCCTTCTCTGGTAAGAGGGAAGTGCCCCCGTCGGCTCTCCCGGCAAACAGAGAAGTGTTTGAGACGTTTTGTGTTTATTCCCCCTCATCCGTGACAACCCTGGGACGGGCTCTGCGGGTTTCAGAGCCCTGCTCCCACCTCCGCTGGCCCCAGCCGGTTTCCCTCAGGTTTCAGGGAGCACTGCGCTCTCTGCGGCGCTCCCCGACGGCGGCGCGCCCCTATCACCGCTGCACAGTGCGACAGGCACCCAAGGGCTGCAGCCTCATTTGTGCAGGTAGGCGTCCAGCCACAGATCCCCAGACTTCTTCAGGGACCTGGGAAGAAAGAGGGGTGGGGACAGTCAGGGGCCTGGCGAGGAGCCAGGGAGCCCTAGGGAGTGGGGGGAGTGGGAGACCACACTGGCGCTGCAGATGCGTCCTCTCGGCTCTCAACCCGGGGCTCCCAGGGGACCCCCTGTGGAAGGACAAATGGAAGACCCTCATCCGGCCCAGAGAGAGAAACCAGGCAATTCCTGGTAAGGGAGGTGGCCTGGTGGGGCACCTATGCCAGCAGTGCTCGGCCCCTCTGGTGGTTGCCACTGTCCCCACCACAGGCGGTCCCAGGCATGTGCCTCTCTGTCCTCGCCCTGCGCCCCCAGGGCTTCGCTTACCCGATGATGTCCCTCATGGCCCTCAGCAGCGGCTTCTCCTGGTACTGGATGCCATGCTTGGCGCACAGGGACTTCACCAGCGGGGCGATCTTGTGGTAGTTGTGCCGGGGCATGGTGGGGAAGAGGCTGCGGAGAGCGTGTGGGGCAGAACGTGAGCGCGCCCTGCCTCCTCCCTCAACCCACAGAGGCGGGCGGGGCCCAGGGCCGTCCACAGCCCTCCCTGTGTGCCCACTGAGGAGGCCGGCACATGGCGGTGGATGGGGTTGTTCGCGGACGGCTCTGGTTGTGCTCTGGGGACTGGAAAGAAACTTGATGGCTACAGACAGAGCACTGTGCTTTTCTAAAGAGGAAATAAAGGAGCTGGAGGGGGTGAGAGTGACCAGGGGGCAGAAGAGGATGAGGGGCAGCAGGGGTGGTTGGTGGGGGAGGGGAGGTTTGAGGGGTAACCCCTCGGCGTCTCAGTCCCAGGCAAGCTAGCTAACCCTGCTGGGCCTCAGTGTCCCAGTTAATAAAATGGGATCAATCACCCTGGCCCGCCAGGCTCACGGGACCGAGGGAGGTGCTGGTGTAAGTGCTCTGTAACTACAAAGCTCCAGCCCCATGTTGAGGGGTGGTTGTCGCCATGACAGCATGGCCCAGGGAACCCCTCCCCTGGCCTCGGTGGGGCTGAGGAACATGCTCTAGGGCTGGGGGATGAAAGAGCTCCTCAGTGGGGAGACAGAGGGGCCCCCTGCAAAGCTGCCTTCTGCCCAGATGGGGCTGGTGGCCACCACCCTCCCACTGTGTGTGGCCCTCCTGCCCCCGGCCCCGCTGCCGCCTGCACTCACTGGTGCTCGATCTGGAAATTAAGATGCCCGCTGAACCAGTCATTGAAGAAGGACTGCTCCACGTTGCAGGTGGCCGACAGCTGCCAGGGAAGAGGGAAGAGTGGCCAGGAGTGAAGAACAAAAGGCCTCGTCTCCTTCCTGTAAGGCCAGCTTCACCTGAGGTCTCAGGGCCGCCCCTCCATGCCATACTGCTCTGCTTGGAGTCCTCACCCACCCAGATTCCCCACTGGTCCCTCCCAAAGAGCCCTGCCACCTCTGCTGCTTAGCCCTGCGCCAACCAGCAGGACACAGGCAGCCCCAGCGAAGCCCAGCACAGCTCTGGGCCCACTAGGCAGCCATGTTACTGGCAGCTGAGGACATGGACCAAGGGCCTGGGGGACCTCACCTGGCTGCTGAACCAGTCACGGTAGGGCTCTCGGTCAATGTCCATGGTGATGTGACTCATCTGCGTGATCCACACAAACCAGTGGCTCTCCAGGAACCTGAGAGAGAGCGCTGCTCGGTGCTGGAGCCCTGGCTGCCTCGCTCGCCAGGGGACCTGGCCACAGTGGGAACAGCTCCCCCTCCCAACCCCACGTGGCCCAGGACAGGTGGAGGGGGCAAGCAGAGGTGCCAGGATGTGAGGCCCAGGACAGGCAGTGGGGACCTCTAAGCCTTTCCTCATGGTCCCTCTTGCCGAAGCTCCTATCAACACCAGTGCTCGGGGGACCAGGGATTAACCAGCAAAGCTCAGGCACCTGATGAAGTTGAGGAAAAGGATCGCTCCCAGGACGCCATAGAAAGGAACGTAGGAGATGAAGAAACGGGCATAGAAGCTGACAGCCCAGGCCAAGTCCTGCCGAGAGAAACACAGTTAGACGTGGGATGGTCCCGCCTTCCCTGGCAGTGCGTCCTGACCACAGGTGTGTACACAACACCTCCCATGCCCTGTTAGGCAAAGGTATCCAAGAAACACCAGCAGGCACCCGGCACATGAGCAGCAGACGCCTGCTTGTGCAGGGTTTGCGAGGCTGTCTTTGTTCATAGAGAAATGCTGAGTGTTTGGCAGCAGGAAGAGAGCTGTGTGCTTTGATTTTAGGGAGAAAAACGGGGATGGGGACCAGAGGACATCAGCTAAGGAGTACCCACAGTGGGGGGTCAGTAGCCCTTTTGTGGTCCTGGGGATTCTGACATTCCGCTCTGCCCGCTCTGCCCGCCCACACCCGGCAGGCTCACACTCCTTCCTCCACGCCCACCCAGCATGACACGGGGAGGGCGAAGGCCAGAAACACCATCTGTCCCCTACCTCAGGGTAGGCAGGCACTCTGCCTCCTGCCTGCCGCCCAAGTCCACGGGTCTCAGCAGGACCACGGCAGGAGCCTCCCACCGGTCTCTGGCTCTCCCTCGTGCACCCGCGGCCGAGCGGCCTTCCTAACTCCAAGCAAGCGCCATCTCTCCCCTGCTAAGACTCCCACCCTGCCCAGAGTGACCCACCCTGTTCAGAAGTATCAGGTGCCCCTCTCTCCTTCACCAGCTGGGGCCTTTGCAAGGACTATGTGCTCTGCCAGGAACACTCATGCCGCGGCTGGGTCCCTATCACTTCTCCTCCCCAGAGCCCGGCAGGGTGGCGATCAGAGCACAGGCTCTGGGTTCAGGCCACCTGTGCTAAATTCCAGCTCCACCACTGGATTTGTGTAGCCGAAGGCGGTTTACTTAGCTGTGCCTCAGTTCGCCGACCTGCAGGATGGGGAGAGGACCTCCCACTGAGACTCTACACAGCTTGAATGTGTTGCAACACTAAGCGAAGCCTGCAGTGTGAGCCCTCACGACCCCAGTCAGGACCCTGCACCCCTTTGCTTCCCACTATAGAAATAGATATTCCTAACGTGCAAGTTGGATCATGCCACTGCCATCCTTAAAGCCATCACCGGCCTCCTTCCCTGCCAGGGGACAAAGGGTAAAACCCAGCCCCTGGGTAGGACACGCGAGCCCTCCCACGCCTGCCCAGTGACCCTGCCTCATTGCAGCCCGTCTCCTGACCTACGTGCGCCAGAGCAGGTGTGCTTTTTGGCTTCAGTGTTGGCGTCCAGGCTGTTCCTGCCTGGAGGCTCCCTCCTCCCTCATCTGCTCAGCAAACGCATCCTTCAGTCCAGCTCTGTTCAATTTAGCTCCACAAACATTGAGCAAAAGCCTTCTCTGTATCAGAGGTTAAATTAAGGGCTGGGAGCAAAAGGTCATCAGAAGCCTTGAGTCTGCAAGGAAAGGCTTATAAAGAGATTCCTTCAATATCATATGAAAGGGAGCAGGCGGTTCCCGGGGCAATGGACACGTGGCAGTAGGGTCCCGGCGCTGTCCTGGGAAAGCCTCCATTAGGAGGTGGTGCCTGAGGTGGGCTGGGATACCCCAGAAGTCTGCCAAGCAAAGACCTGTAGGAAGGACACTTGCAGAGCAGGCAAGGATACAAAGAAAAGCCCACACAGGCAAGACTGCAGAGGGTGCATGCTGGGGAGGCGGGCAGCAGCCATGTTTCCATACAGATGATATGTTCCATACTCTCCAGCCGGGGGTAGGGGGCGGGAAACCACGGCCAGGTCATGTTGGGCCGGGGAGACCGACCTCTACCTCCCGAGCAGTGGAGAACCCCTGAGAACTTTCAACAACAGAAGAACGCGGTTACATTTGGGTTTAAAATAGACCCCTGCCAACCAGAGGTGCAGAGATTAGGTTATTGCAGCAGCTTGGGCATGCAGTCACGGGGGGCCCACCAGGACCCGCAGCGCCCAGGAGGAGGTGACAGGCTCCAGTTCTACTTGGGAGGCAGGGGCAGTTGCGTTTGGGGACTGCTGCATAGTGGTGAGAAAGGTGGGGAGGCCAGCGGCGGGGAAGGGGCTGGGGAGCGGAGCCTCTGAAGGGCCAACAGTGAGCGCAGGGCCACACCGGTCCCCCACCCCCACCAATGAGGGAGTCTTCGAGGGGCGGAGAGAGCAAATATTACAAGTTCTGCTCCTTCTTTTCATCACATTCACTTTCACATCATTTTTGCGCATCTATGGCACAGCAGTGAGCTGCTGTGTGTGTTAATGGCAGTGCCTGCTCATCTATTTGTTCTCCCATGGAGTGATACGGGACTACCGCGTTGCTGTTTGGGGGAGAGGGGGCGGGGCGGGGGCGGGGATGGAGGCTTGTGGGAACGGAGAGGTGGAAGCAGATCAGCAGGAAGGTCTTGGAAACCCAAGGGGACAATCTCAGAAGGGAGCTGGTAGTGGTGTCAGGTCCCGCGGGCCCTTCCCCCCAGGCCTTCCGAGGTGAGGCCAGGGAAGCACCCCCGGGGGTAGCCATTGGCAGCAGCACAGCAGGGTAAAAACCGCCCTGCTCGATGCTCTCTCCCAGCCTCCACACGGTCAGCCCCGAGGCTGGATAATTCTTATGTGTAGGCGGCAGTCCTGTGCATGGTCACATCTTGGGATGTTCGGCTGCCTCCCTGGCTCTCGATGGCAGTAGCACTCCGGCCCCCTCGCCCCACCACCCTGGCCTGTGACAATCAGAATTGGCCCTGTTGAGGACCTTTGCCCCAGGTCACAACTGCAACTGGCACCTAAGCTCGCAACTGTCACAGAGCAGACGACACAGTGCAAGGCATGTCTCTGCCCACATGGTCATGGGCCCCTGAGGGCGGCACGGAGTGGTATCCACCGCGAATCTCAGACACCAAGTCTGGGAGCAGGCAGGAGGCCTGGCCCTCTGGCCCAGCCTGAACCCCATTTCCCAGCAGGGGCCAGAGAAGAGCCATGCAGACTCCTCACCATCCAGCAAGTCCTTGGAAAGGCCAGGGGGCCCTATCAAATTTCCCAGGCTCTGCCATCTGATCCTGCTCAGGTACAGTGGTCTAATTTCCTTTCCTGCTGTCCCTACTTAATTGCTTTGTTCCTTGGGGGAACAAACAGGAAAAAAAAAGATTAAATATTCATGTCAGGAGTCATCTGCCATGAAAACAGATAACAGGCCGCCAGCAGCATCACCTGACCCAGCCCAGCAGGGCTCACATTCCTCTGTGCCTGCGGTGACTTCCTCCAGGGCCCAGGTGAGCCTGGTGCAGACCGTGATCACTAGAGAAGACCTGGGTTCAAATTCTTATCGCTTAACTGATCCAGAAATTCCATTCCCCAGCCCATTCCTTCCCCGTTCATAAAACACGGTGAAATGGCACAATGTAGGTGGAAGTTCTCAACTGTTCCCAGAACACCATAGGTACCGTCAAGATGCTCACTTTTGGGAAAATCACCTGTCTTGGAAGTGAGCTGTACAGGTCCTACCAGCACAGCGTTGGCAGGGACTTCCAGAGCCCCGCCTCGTCCCCAGCCACCCCACCTGCTCCTGAGTCCAGCCTGGGCCCTCTTCGCAGAATCAACGGCCGTGGCCCCTCTGCCTGTACTTTCAATGAGCGGGTGTAAGGCAAAGTGCTTTGCGGCTGTTCAAATGCTATACGAATACAAAGTATTGGTATTTCAGAGACTGGTGGCTGAAGGGTGGTGTGGGGAAGCGTCTGGGACACAGAATTGGGAGGCCTGGGTTCCAGAGCCTCACCCACCCCTTGGTGTCAGCTTGGGCAAGTCCTAAACTCTCAGTCTCCAAGTTTTCACTGACGAAACTGAGTTAAGAGAGATCAACAATGCCTACCCGGTGACTCTATGGAGAGGGGGTTCTGTCCCTGTTCCACTGAAACCGGCTCCGCTGAAAGCGGGCTCTGCCCCCGCGGACCGCCCCTCCCTGGTCCTTCCACCACCAGCACATCATCCTACACCCTACACGTCTACACAGAGCCGCGGTCGGCTGCGTGCACAGCACTGCCGGCCCCTCTCCAGGGTCCCTTCCTCTCTCCGGGGGCAGAACCCGGAGATTCTCTCCAGTCTGGGGTTAGGGGCTGCACTGTGTCCTCTAAAGTTGAAGTCCTGACCCCCCAGGACCTTGCGACGTGACCTGATTTGGAGGCAGGATCCCTTCGGGTGTAATTACGTAGGATGAGGTTACTGGAGAGGGCCCTAATCCACTATGACCAATGTCCTTATAAAAAGGGGAAATTTGGGCCCAGATACAGACACGTGCACAGGGGAGACGATATGAAGAAACACGTGGAGAGGGTGGCAGCCAACCACCAGCCGAGGAGAGAGGCCCAGACCCTTCCTCACAGTTTCAGAAGGACTAACCTGGGTCACAAGTCAGCCTTGGATTTCCAGCCCCCGGACTGTGAGACAACAATTCTGGTGCCCACAGAACTGCCCCTCGGTCCATGGTGCTTCCTTATGCAGCCGTAGCAAATTAATAACACCTGTCGCTCAGCCACCACCCAGCGGCTCTCTATTCACAAACCTGAGTGGCCTAGGTCGTGGGCCTTAGGGAACACACGGGGACACAAGAGAGCAATGGCTGGAGCAGAGCTGTGGATGGGTGGGCCGAGTTTGGCTCTGGTCACATGGCCTTCAGGAACTTTCTGAGGGGGCTCTGCAAAGGCAGTGGCTCCCCAGGGTGGGGGGATCTTTAAGAGAGGGGTGCAATGGCCTGCCACGTCCTGGCGGCCTCACAGCAGGTTCCTTCTTGAGAGTGATAAGGCAGCCATCCCACGAGGAAATACCTGGGGCCCCAGAGGGCACAGCGGGACACCGTGCAGGCCCCTGAGGTGCACCGCCCAGACTCCCTGCCCCCCACACCCCCGGGCCGGCCGCTCCCCTTCACTCACCACCCAGTCTTTGTAAATGATCATGGTCATGATGATCTGGTACTGGAAGTACATGGGGATGAGCAGCGGCGGCCCGACTGCAGGGGAGAGAGGGGAGCAGAGGCCCTTAGAGGTGTCCCGTCCCTCCTGGTCTACCCAGCCCCTCCTGGTTCTCCCAGCCCCACCTGGTCCTCCCAGCCCCACCTGGTCCACCGGTCCCTCCTGGTCCAGGCTGGACGAGCGGGAGAAGGCAGGACCAGGGCCCAGGCCTGCAGCTCTGGCGGAGGCAGCGGGCCGACGCCCACTGAGGGGGCTGGGAGCGGACCGCTCCTCTCCTCCCCCCTCCCCCGCCCACCCTCCCCACAAGGATGGCGGAGCAAGTGTCTGCCTCTCGGGCCTCTGGGTCCCATCTGTATGATAGGTCAAGAAGAGTCTGCATGGGCAGCTCTAAGAGGTTTAGTGTCACTTTCTGAGAGAAAAGGGTGTCAGCGGGAAGAGAACAGACAGGGTGAGGGAGACCCGGGAAGGTTGTGGGCAGTCCCGCACTCACTCAGGAAGAAGTATTCGTGCTGGTGGTTGTAGGGCAGATATTTCAGCTTCTTCTTGCCGTACTGGGGAGAGAGCAGAGACTGTGAGTGCTTGGCTCCCCTGGGGCCCAGCCTCCTGTGGGGCCACCCGCTCTGCAGCCACCACCTCTCCCTCCACTCAGGGGGCCTCTGTCCCTCCGCGGTCAGTCTGCACCCTGAGCCCCCCAAACCCAGGCCCCTCCGGCCCTCTCTGTTCCCAGCCGCTCCGGCTAACGGCAGCCAACGTTTCCTGGGCCCCGGCTGAGCGTGCTGTCCCCGTGCTGTGTGCCGGCCTCCATGCAGGCACCCCTCCCGGAGCCCACGAGCTGGCACTTCTGAAGCTAAGGCTCAGGGTCAAGTCACTGCCCAAAGCCACACAAGAATGGACCCAGCTGGGATCTGGACCTGAGAAAGCTGACTCAGAGACCAGGTCATAGTCACCAAATAACTGTTTCCTGCATGAATGCACAACCGAACAACCCATATGAGGCACAGGCCCCAGAGGGAGTGACCAAAGCTGCTGGTTCACCCTGAGGAGCTCTCCAGAGCCCGAAGCAGCTGCAGAAACCCAGGCAAGGGCCTGGGGATTTATGAATAGTCACTGGGCTGGGAGCATCTACCCCCTCAGAGCTTCCTGCAATTCCCAAAGCTAATCACTCCTCCCAGGACACCAGTGCCCGCCCGTCAGAGTGTGCCTGCCCCCACCCCCCAGGGCAGCTTGATGCCTGGATACTCCCAGGGAGGAGGGCTGAGCTGGGGCCTGCGCACCCTCACTGTACAAAGCTGTTCGTCCACTCTGTGAGTGAGCCAGTGAGGGAGCCACAGTCCCCCAGGGTCCCAGCAGCCCTTTAATTCTAAAGCCCAGCCCCCTGGGAACGAGCCCAGGCTGCTCCTTCGAGGCTAAGACCAAAAGATGCTGCTTGCAAAGGGCACCTGCTCTTGCTTGCCCTGCCTGGGGGCTGTGCGGGAAGCCTGGGCCCGGGCCGAGACCCTGCACAGGTCACTCAGCCCTTTTGGCATCCTTATCACTTGTTGTTAAGAACAACCAATGAGGACACAGGCCTAAATGCCAGGTGCTAACGCCAGGGGCACTGCCCCTCAGCAACTCTTCCCTGGACCCGGAGGCCAGAGCCACCCTCTGTCAATGATGCACATTCCTACTTGTGGCTGGAAAATCAAAGCCAGGCAGATGGATAGACTCTGGATGTTGTCCAGGCCAGTGCCCCTTGTTCTCCAGGTGAGAGCTGAGGGGAAAGCGATTGTCCAAACCGCAGGGAGGGTCTGTGGACTCCCAAAAAGAGGGGCCCTGGATGGGAACAAAGCCCTGCCTGTCCCCAGGACGCGCACCCTGGTGCCAGCGGCCATGGTCGCAGCACACCCGGGGAGGCGCCACCGGAACCAATCCCTGCATTCCATGCGGCCTCCTGTGCTTTGGCAGGGATCCCACTCCTCCCCAGAAAGTGTGTCCATTTGCTCGAAGACTTCCATTAAGGCTGGGACTGGGGCTGACCTTGGAGATGTCCCAGCCAGGGAGGCCTCAGAGGTGGGGGGAGGGAGCCCGAGTGGCCATTCTGGGAGAAGGGGGAAAGTACGGCCGCTGGGTCCTGCTCCAACTTCCTCAAAGAGGCGAGGGAAGAGGCTTACAGGCCCCGCCTTTGTAGGCTTTTCTGGCCCTGGACAAGACCCCTCCCCACATCTCTGCCCCACAGGTCACCCCGGGGAAGGGACCAGGCTCAGCGGACTCTCTCGAGCTGGTGAGGCTTGACAGACTAAGGCTTCATGAGCCTAAGCAAGTTGGCAGACACCAGAGGCTCCCCACGGAAGGACTTAGGGGTGACAGAACCGCTGGGGGCGGGTGCAGGGGAGTCACCTGGGAATTCACATGAAGCTGCATTTGCATACTGTTTTCATTTATTTATGGTGACCTTCGTGGGGGGCGGTCATAGGGATGACAGGGGCTGCTGCTCCCCCAGGCTGGTGACCACAGCTGGCTCCTCCTACATGTGTCCCTTGAGTGCCCCGAACGACCTGGGGGCTGATGGGTCCCTGCTGATGGGGCAGTGGCAGGCCTCTCCGTCAGCCCCTGAGATCACCAGGACTAGGGAGGCGGGGGTTCGAGATCTGGAAACAATTTACTATTTGAGCAAAGTGCTGCACCACTACCCAGCCCTCGAACTTTGGGTTCTTTATTTGTCAAGCGGAAGGATGATGGGTACTTCATAGGACTAGAGAGGGACCAGCAGATGAGGTGGATATAAAAGCACTTTGGGACCGCGGCTATGCGTGCGCCTGTGTGTGCCGACACACCCCAATGCCTGGTGCGTCTATCCCATTTAAGACGGCAGCTGCAAGGCCATCTGTCAGGGTGTGGCTGACCCACAGCACCAGTTCTCCTCTGAAAACCAGCAAGCACAACTGTGGATGGCTGAGGCCAAGCCCGCACAGGGCCGGCTTTCTGGCTCTTGTCTTCCCACACTCAGTTCTTTGCCAAACCCCAAGTGGGTAAGTCAAGGGTGCGGGAAGGGGTGAGAGAGGTATTTTAGGAAGTATCAAGCCAGGAGAGGGGCTCCTGGCTTCTTCCTACATCCAAAAGCTAAGCTGACCCAACAAACACACACTTCCTTGTTGTCTACCAGGTGGTGGCCCTAGGCAAGGTCCCACAGGACCCAGAAGCCCTGGCTTAGAGCCAGATGGCCTGACTTTGGGTGGTGGTTCTGCTTTTCTAGCCGGAACCTTGAGCGAGTTACTTCATGTCTCTCAGCCTTAGTTGTTCCGTCTACAAAATGAGTGTGCTCTCAGCTCCTGTCTCAGGGTTAGGCAAGGCTGAGTGATGACCTGCACGCAGTGCTCGGCACAGTGCCAGGCCCTGGACTCACTCCAGGAGAGTCTGCCTGCATCCCCACTGGGTCCCCACACCTGCCCCCCGGAGGGGAGCCCTCGCCACACACAGGGAGAAAGCCCAGGGCAGTGGGACCATCAGAGGAGAGACGCAGAGAGGACAGAGGGTGCTCGCACCCAGGCGACGTACGGGTGCCTTATTGTGTCCAGACCCCAAGAAGATGGTGGCACACAGGGCTCCCTTTGATGCATTTCCCAACTGGGGCTGACTGGGGACACAGGCCAGGGGCACGGTGGGGAGGGGAGCACTGACTGCCAGCCGGGTGGCTTGGCTTCCTGGAGGTCCACAACCCTTGGCCCTAGCTGGCCGGCCCTCCCGTGTTCAGCCTCTCCACGGACCACAAGGCCGGCCTTGGATTATAGGTTTGGATGCCAGGGGCATGTACAGGGGACTTTTCAGCTTTGGAACAAAATGTCTAAGGAAGGACAAGGGCCTTCCTTGTCTGTTCAGGAGCGGAGGAGGGGAGCTGCTGCAAAGTCCAGCCTCAGCCTCTGGGAACCTGCAAACTCACACAAAGAGAGCGAGCAACAGGGCCGCACCAGGCATGCGCAATGGGCAAGACCTCAACCCCCAGGCCACGGGCCCAGAGCAGAGGGCATGGTCATTCCAAGGGAGGGCTGACCGCTTGGCCCGCTCGCCAAGGCTGCCTGAGCCAAGAAGCCTGGCGGATGAGCGGTGGGCAGGCACAGGGGCGGGGAGAGCGCCCCAGGTGGGCGGGAAAGCAGGCTTTCAGGCAGAGGCAGAAACCTCACAGAGCCACAGGGACAATGGCCTCCGTGACGTGGCCAAGGAGAGAGGACTGCCACTGAGCCACAGTCATCGCTGCTGTTTAAGTCTTTCCTGGAAGCTCCAGGAATGTCATAAACCCAAACCAGAAATAAAAGCGTGGAGCTAGTACAAAGAAAGCGACTAAATTTCGTTATTATCAAGGGTATGATTGTCTTCCCACCTGAAAAGCAACTAGAATCACAAAGAGGCATAAGCAGACACCACTGAGACATCAGACAACTAGTCAGCCAAATATCAACAGCTTCCCTGCACACCAGAGAGACCCCAATCATAGTGACGAAAACAGAAACGACCCAGGATTAAACTGAAAAAGAAACATCCACAAGACATATGACGAAAAGTATGAAAAAAAAAAGTATAAAACCTTTCCAAGAAGTGTAAAACCTTTCCAAGAAATATAAAGGGAGACTTGAGTAAATAAAGAAAAATGCTTCCTTCTTGGATGGGAAGGCTGAATATAAAGGTGTAAATTCTTTCTAGAAGAGGAAGGTGGTCCACTCTAGTGAGTTATTCGGCACCTCTGGCGGACTGGGGTGATGCTCAAGTCCCCCAGACAGCGTCCCGCTCAAGGACAGACGGCCCAGCCCAGGCGCAGGGGTTCAGGCAGGGTTCAACACTGCTCCGCACGGAGGGAGGGACGAGCAATGGGACCCGATGTGGGGGCTGCCTCTGGAGAAATGTGAAGGCAGGACGTCACCTTAGCCCAGCTCCACTGGGCGAAAGGTAAACATTCAAAAGTGAAACCATAAAACACTGAAAGTCGTATGTACGAAAAACTGCCTACGCATAAAGGAGGAAATGAGAGGACTCTCGGGGTGGCGGGTGGGGCGGGGAATTATACATCTTGCTACACAAAAAATAAAAAATTCTCCCCTGAAGTCATAAACAAGACCAAGACAGAAAACTAACTAGGAGACCGCTGCTTACGTCTCTGCCTGCCGGGCGGCCCATGGAGTGCCGGGCTGCGCAGCTTTGTTTATGGTGCCTGGAGATAAGAGCCCTGGCCTGCTTGCTCTGGAGGCCGGCCCTGGCGTGCCGTGTGGGTCTGCCATGGGACAAGTGCCATCAGACCCATCATCACCAGTCCTTTCCAGGGCAGCATAGTTCTGTGGACCCCAGGGCACAGCTCAGCCAGGAATCCAGAAACAGCTGCCCTTTCCCCTCAGTAGTGTGAGATTACAGAGCGCTGTGGCTCCGGCCACAGGTTTTCAAATGCTACCAGCAAATTTCACCAGACCCCCAAACCTCCCGTTCATCCCCTGCCCAAAACCCAGCATGGGAGAAGTGTCTAGAGAGAGGGGCTGGAAGAGGTTTCACAGGCTCCCAGGCAGAAAGACACCTTCTTGCCAGTATTGTTGGTGATACTCGATCTCGTCGGAAACACAGAGGCCATCTGTCAGGACAACCAACAGCTCTACAACATGAAGCCTCACCCAGCAAGGGAAGCCTTTGTTTTCGCTCACCAAGAGGCTGAGGTTAATCAGGTCCACTCTCTAGACACCTCTAATCAGAGCCAGCAAACTTTCCTAGAAACCCAAGCATGTACCTTGGCACAGAGACCCACGCTTCCTAAGTACTGAGTTTTGGCTAATTTCCTTCGAATTGATGATGTCACAGAAAACCATGTTTCTCCTCAGATATTCTCTCGGGTGGACAAGAAACGGAGCGAGGAGGCACAAACCAGAACCGGGGGAAGAGGCTCTCTCCTCCGCTCCTCGTTGCGAGCCGTGGGTCCCAACACTGTTGGGAATGGGACAAAATTCAAGACACTGCTCCCTGCTGAGGCCCAAGGGCCTCGCCCGGGGAACGCTCCCCCAGCCCCTCCCTCTGTGTCCTGCTCTGCGATGCCGAGATCTGCATGGAAGCAACTAGGACCTTCTCATCTTTGTTTTGCCCGATCGGAGAAGCTCCACAACTCAACGCATATGTAGCTTTTTTTCCTAAAGTGAACCATAACAGAAGCTGTCCCAAAAAAAGGGTTCCGCGTTTTAAAACATGTATTAAATGAGGACATTCTTCACCTAAACTGGGAGTGCTCTTATTAAAAGGAAATCAAGAATCAGCAACACCAAATCGTCCTGCTGGAGACAATGGCGTGGGCAACATTACGGAAGAGAGAGAGAGCCGAGCACTGGCCGGCCCCCGGCGGAGGCCGAGGGACGTGGATTCCCGGAAAGAGGTCCATGACTGGTGAGGCGGCAAGTTGCAGGATAGGGTGTCGAAGTTTTGGCTGCTTTTGAAAACCAGATATATGTGTGATTGTGCGCACACAGAAAGTACATGGCAGGCTGTCACCAGCGGTCACCCCAAGAGGCATGACACTTGGGGCAAAGGGGCGATGGTGGAGATAGTAGAAGACTCATTTTTAAATTGTATATATTTCTGTGCCACTTAAACGCTTATAATAAGTATGTTCTATATTTATAATTTAAAAATGTACTAATATTAGCCCTGACCAGCATGGCTCAGTGGGCTGTGGGTTGTCCCACAAAGCGAAAGGTCGCTGGTTCAATTCCCCACCAGGGCACACACCTGGGCTGCAGGCCAGGTCCCCTGCTGGGGGCATGGGAGAAGCAACCAAGCAATTTTTCTCTTGCACATCGATGCTTCTCTCCCTGTCTTTCTCCCTCTCTTCCCTACTCTATAAAAATAAAAATAAAATCTTTTTTTAAAAGAGAAATGTACTAATATTAAAAATAAGGCCGTGAGACAAAGTGGAAAAAAATGGCCAACTATGTGACCTGGGGCCTCCACATTCACTAACTCTGGGACTCTGGACACAGCCCCTCCTCCCGCTGAGCCTGGCTTTGTCATAAGCTGGTGAAGCAGGTGCAACAGACCATGCCGAGGACTGTGACTTTCCAAATAAGCTTTCCTTGAACTGGTCTTTGGGGACCAAGCTTGAGCCCCGGAATTGTGTCTTCCTGCAAACTGAAACCAGGTTCCCCCCGGCCCCGGGAAGACACAACAAGCCAGGAAACGCTCCTCCCTGGCCGGTGGGAGCAGGGGAGCATCCAGCCAACGCCAACACTCTGATAAGGAGCTGTGTCCATTGTTTACATGCGAAGTCACGCCACCGAAATTGCAGCTTGAGTAATTCAGGGCGTCCGGGAGAGGTTTCTGTGTACACCTCCGGTCTGGCTGAATAGACACCCTCCAAAATTCCTTCCCCAGTCCCCACTCAGGCCACACCCTTCCCACATCAGCAACCCCCCTGCCCACTCCGTCATTGTACCTCAATGGGCTGCCAGTTGCCCAGAACGAACACATGCAGCATGTTGACATCTGGATCCTTCTGGAAGATGTTAGGCTTGGCGTGATGCTGGAAGTGGCGATGGTTCCACCAGTTGGCAGAGGCACCCTGTGGAAGGAGAGGAGGGTGAGGAATGCAGTTTGCCAGAGGTCCTGAGCTCGCTGGAGTCGAGGCCTGCCCAGGGCCCGTTCCTAGGGACCTAGCACCTCCAACACTCAGGGCTGACTTCCCTGTTACACAAAAGGTCTCTGGCCCTCACCAGGTAGCTCAGTTGGTTAGAGTGTTGTCCTGAAATGCCACAGGTGCATGTTCAATCCCTGATCAGGGCACATATAAGAATCAACCAATGAACGCATAAATATGTGGAGCAACAAATTGATGTTTCTCTCTCTCTCTAAAAATCAATTTAAAATAAAAAGGTATCGGCCCATGAAAGAACATGGCCCTGCCAGTACTGAGTTAGGAATGCTGGCAGCTGTGTGTCCAGGACTTTTGAGTGTAGCCAAGTCACCGAATGCCCCAGGCCCGTATCCCCAACGTAAGACAGAGACAGTGGGCGAGGACTGTCACTGATGCGCCGCGTGGCCAGTGCTCCGCACTCTGGCAGGTGCACTCCTCCAATGCCAGCTGCGAGCCTCCACACCCTCACCCTCTGCAAGGGGCAGGGTTCCTCTGTGTGCCTGGGTTGCGTAAATAAGAAGTGATCTTGGAGCGAACCCAAGAGAAGTGAAAACATGGCCACACAGAAAACTTGTACGTCAATGTTCCCAGCAGCATTATTCAAAATAACCTAAAAATGCAAACTACCCAAACACCCACCAGCTGATAAATGGATTAAGTAGAATGGCTTGGATCTGTATCCTGGAATGTTGTTAAGCCATGCCTTAAAAGGAATGAAAGTACTGACATGTTACAACATGGATGGACTTTGAAAAACCTCATACTAAGTGAAAGAAGCCAGACCCAAAGGACCACATAGATGATTCCATTTGTATGGAATGTCCAGAATAGAGAAATCTGGAGATGGATTAGTGGTTGCCTATGGCTAAGGCTGGGGGTGGGTAGAAGGGATGAGAGGATCAGGAGGTGATAGCTAAGAGGCAAGGGTTTCTTTTGGAGGTAACGTCCCCCCAAAAGATGTCCCCAAATTGATTGTGAAGATGGTTAAGTCATTGGCTTATGCACTTTAAATGGGCGAATAGTATAGTATGTGACTTGTATCTCAATAAAGATTTTTTAAACAATCAAGGGCCCGAAATAGTTGGCAAGAGACAGACACCCAACAGCCAGACATGCTACGCACTGAGGGGTGAAGAGGGAGCCAGGGGCATGGCCACAGGAAGGACTGACTGAATCACTAACAAGCATGCGTAAGAGCTTCCTGGTTCTCATATGTCAGTATAAAATTAAGATTCTAGGAAATGAGCAGCATTGATGTGAGTGTTTATTTCCAGGCCACAAATCTGTCTCACCAGCTCAAGCTCTTGACACATTTTGAGGGTGTGTCCCTCCACAAAGTGGTACAGTGACGCATACAAAGAAACCAGACTCTCTGACCCTCCACAATGGCACTTCACAGGTGAACTGTTCCTGGATCCATCAGTGCTCTGGCCAAAGGTCTGGCCATTTACAAAAAGGCCTCATAGCGAACACAAACATGTCAATGGCTCTGAGCAGCGGCGACCCTTGTGGGTGAGCTCAGGCACCTGCCGGCAGGTGGGCCTCAAAGCCCATCAGAGCAAAACAAAGTGTTAGCTGAGAGGACCAAGGAATCAAATGACACATTTGTCCTTCTCGCCAAAAGCAACCAAATTCCTGAGAAGAATGAAGTGGAAAAGTATCTGGAACAAAGATGTTAAGAGGCAAGGCATGCTGTGAGTAAGCACGGTGTTTGCTGAATGAGTAACTGGAGGAGAGGAAAGATGGGCTGGCCAGCAGCGAGGCTGGGCCGCACTGCACCGGCTCGGATGGATTGGCAAAACATGTTTTGATTGTGCCATCCCTTTGCTATCATTCTCTTCCCTTCTTCTTTGCTAGGCAAAGCCCTCCTTCTGCTTTCCAAACCCTCCTTCCCATGGAGCCCTGCTTGCCCGGGAATAGTGACCCAGCCCTGGTGGCCATGCTGCCTGCCTTGGGGATGAAGCGGGGAAGGGGAGGCGAGCCCTTGCACAGCCCGGGAGTCGGGCGTCACACCACAGTGAGATGGGGCCAAGTTTCCGGAGGCCGCTCAGGACGGTGCTTGGCCTGCAGGCTGGGGAGGAAGGCTCCAGGCGGGTGAGGGCGCTTTACTAACAGACAGGAAGAGTCTAGATGAGGGCCTCGGGGATGGAGGGAGGCGGAGTGTGAACCATTCCAGAAGCCAAAGGCAGGCCCCTGGGTTGGGCCCCAGCCCCAGGATGGCAGCCAGCAGGGCTGGGCCAAGCCGCATCAGGGCCAGAGGGAGAAGGACACAGGGGCTCCTGGTTGTGACAGATGCAACCTCGTCAACAATCTTTTCCAAATCTGCTTTTTGGCTCATCTCGTTTTCAGTTGGGAGGACTGCTGAGTGGGACGACTTTAACCAAGCAACCATCTTAAATGATTGTCAATGAACTGGAATAAAACAGTAAATTCTGTTTTGGTATAAATAATATATTTCAAGTTAATATTGGGGCTTTTAATACACTGACTTTCCAATTTTTAAGTACTCATCAACTACTTTAATGTTCTGGGGCGAAAAAAAAAATCAACCACTGACTAGAGAACACATACAAATATGTATAGGGGGCACAAACTTTTCCTTTTGCCTCCGGTTCCAATATGGTCCAGCATAGTCCTGATCTTTATGTAAAATGTTGATATTTTGTTTAATGTGGATTTTTTGGCATTAGTTTTGATTTTTCAAGAAAATATTGCATTAAAATGTTATCTTGATTACTGAATTACAATCTTTTGGCGGTCCCTTAAATTTTGCACCCCGGGTGAACGCCTCACTTGCCTCGCCCTCGTCCTGGCCCCGATGCCCGGGAGGAGGTTGTGAAAAGGCTGGTGGGTTTCCCCGTTTCCATCGCCAGAGGCAGAGTCTATTTGGCGCCAGTCCCTGCGGTTTGCATTTTATCCTAAGTGCCATGGCAAGCAATTAAAGGGTTTTAAGCAGAGGCATGACTGCTTAGAACTGTCCTTACGTAAGACCATCCTCTGAAAGAAATGGCCACCGGAAGTGATGTGGGCTGAAAGAAGAGGGGAGGTAAAGACACCGAGGGCTCACACATGGAACCCTACAGCTGCACAGGCTGATGCTAAGAAAGCAGGTCCCTAACCCCGCAAGGCCCCCCGGCACCCTGTTCACTGTCCTCAGTGCTTGTGCTAAAACATCTGAGGTGGCGGGGCTCCCTGCAGCCAGTCCCTTTTTGTTCCAAAGTGACCAGAGGAATGGATGGCCTTGTAAGACTTGTCTGGCCCTGGCTGGTGTGGCTCAGTGGATTGAGCACCAGCTTGGGAACCGAAAGACCGCTGGTTCGATTCCCAGCCAGGGCACAAGCCTGGGTTGCAGGCCAGGTGCCCAATGCAGGGCAGGCGAGAGGCAACCAGTCTCTCTCACACATCAGTGTTTCTCTCCCTCTCTTTCTCCCTCCCTCCCCTCTCTCCAAAAATAAATAAATAAAATCATAAGGTAAAGAAAAAAACCAAAAGACTTGTCTGCAGCAAGGTGGCCACCGGCTGCCAGAGCAATTCCAGGCATGCTGTGATTACCCTGGCGCTGGGGCACCAGGGGGTGAGCTCCGTGGCGGCCTAGACAGAGCGTGAAGGACACAGCCAGCAGAGGGGGCGAACGAGCCGCGAGTGGAGCCCATGTCCCTGACCCCCTGCTGGTCTCCAACCCCCAAATACCATCTCCCCGTCATTCCAGAATTCCGATTTCCTAAGACAGGTTTCCACAGAGGCCAATGCCATGCTCTGACCTTATCTTCCATGTGACACAAGAGCTGTGCTCCGGGGCCCTTCAAGGACCGAGGGCCATCAGGAGGGAAAGCACCCCCGACCCTGGCTCCTGCCCAGACTCTGGAAACAGGACACAGCCCATCTTTGTTGAGTGCGTGGGGATAACAGGGGTCGGGAGGGAAATGTTACTTTCCAATACCGACAAGGGGTTTGTCCAACAGAGAAGCATATAAAATGAAACAAAGCACTCTACTATGCACACCCTGTCCCTTCACCCCTGAAATTCTGGAAAGAACCCAGGTTCTCAGACTGCTCCAGGCTCAGGGCCAGGCCAGCCGCTTGCCTAGGAACTGGTGACTAGTTCAATGGTAGTTCACCCCCAACCAGCACTGGAGCCTGCAAGCCAAGGGCTTGATGCATCTGGGCTGCAGGGAGATTAAGTTAACCCAGACCCGCGGCTCTTCCCAAACCAGGGTGGGGAGGGTGGGGAGGGTGGGGAGGGTGGAAGTCTTTAGGACGCAGCTTTTCTTAGGGAGCAGCTGGAGGCTGAAGGGAAAGGGCTGGGGCAGAGGATGATCTGCTTCAGAGAGACAGCTGGCAAGGACTTATTTCCAAAACCAAGGGAGTAAAGCCGCTCAGATCAGCACAAGGTCACTGGCAAGTCCGGCTATGGTTTTACAAACTTGCCACTTCCATGGGATGGCCTTCTCCGCTGCAGGGCAGACAGAACTGAGTTTTAAACATATCTTTGAGTTTTAAACCTCTGAGTTTTAAACACATCTGGTCCTTTAGCTCAGCTGCCCATTATACAGTGTGATGCCCCCTTATCTAAAGACTTCTATGAGGACAGCATCTCCTTTTCATTCCCCAAAGCATATCTGAGGCAGCTTTTGATAAAGGACTCACATAACAAAATGATGATAAATGACGGCTAATGGGAGGGGAGGAGATATTTAACAAAAAGTAGACTAAGGATAATCCCAACTGCTTTGCATTTCCTGGGAGGAAAAGAGGACCTCGATGAATCAAACAGCTCCCATTAGCCAGTGACAAAAACACTCCAGTTCATCAAGAGAAACTGCATCTCTACTGGCCCCAAACTAAAATGAATTTATTAAATAAGCCCTTAGATAAGGTGCAAACAATATAATTAGCCAAGTCAACAAACAAAAGAGGCATGTGTCCGTGTTCCTAACTAGACCAACGGTGTGGTGTGTCTAAAGAGACGTGGAGCCAGGGCCTGGAAGGGCGGTGAAACGGAGGATTTGGAAGCCTCACGGCTGGTCCAGGAGGGGGCCTGGTCTCAAAGTCAAGTGAGATAGAGCTTCATCAACTGCTAACTGATGGGATGGGCGCTCAGGGCTGTTGACCTTTACCTTTAAGTGGCCCATGATGAACTTGTGGACGATGTGGTTCCACGTGGACTTCTTGTAGACAGAGAGGTGGCCATAATCATGTTGCAGCCATCCCGCTTGGGTCTGGGGAGAGAGGGCCAGATGCTTTCACAGCGGCCACACGCAGGTACCAGGCCTCTGTGAGCAGGGGAAGCTGGGTGCTTCGAGCGACAGGTGAGGGTGTTACGCCTCACCTGAGAGGTAGCAAGGATGAAGGTCGTGATGATGGTTGGAACCCAGCCATTGCCGAAGTAAAAGATGATGAACCATGAGATGCTCTCCATGACGATGATGTGGGCCAGGAGGAGGAGGAAGAAAAGGTGGTTGCTCTTGAACAGGTTCATGTCCTCAGCAACCTTCCTCAGGGCCCGGAAGTCCTCGATGATCTGGGACTGTGGAGCAAGGGCACGGGGAAGGTGTCAGCCACCAGCCACCGTGCATGACAACTGCTGTCGTTACCATGTGCCTGCCTGGGCCTGGCGCAGCTGTGGGAACTGTGGATTTGTCCACAGCCAGTTAGGAGGCAGAGAACAGATTTGACTCAAACGTTCACAGCAGCATTATTCACAAGAGGCAGAAGTCGGAACAACCAGACACCACTGATGGATGAATGGTTAAACAAAACAGGGTCCACCCATACAATGGAAGGTCACTCAGCCTTACAAAGGAAGAAGTTCTCACACGTGCTCCCACATGGATGAACCTTGAAGACACTAGGCTCAGTGCAAGGAAGCCAGACACAGACAGACAGATACTCAGTGGATTCCACATCTGAGGTGCCTAGAATAGGCACATTCATAGACAGAACACAGAATGGTGTTCCCCACGGGCTGGGGGAGGGAGACTGGAAGTTAATGTTTAATGGGGACAGTCTCAGTTTGGGAAGATGAGAAAGTTCTGGAGATAAATGGCTCTAGAGCAATGGTTGCACAACAGTGTGAATGTACTCCAAGTCACCGAACTGTACACCTAAAAATGGTTAAAATGGTAAATTTTATCTTATGTCTAGTTTATCGCCCTTCCCCTCCCCCTCCCCCAACAAAAGCCTGCAGTTTCCACTGTTGGGCACTGCAGCGCTTGTTCTGGGTACCCCATCGGGCCTTGAGGAGGCTGACGTTGGGGGGACATGGAAACAGTTCAGGAAGAAGTCCCTGCCCCCAGGGCTGGGTAGGGAGGCAGAAGAGGACTGGCCGGGTCAGGGGTAATGGAGGTGGAGCCCAGGATGGCTCTGAGGAAGCACAGGCCTGGCTGGGAGGTGGGGGCGGGACGGGGGAAGGCAGTGGAGAGCAAGGGCGAAGGCCTCTAAGGGGACACACCCAGGACCCTTCGATAGGCAGACAGGGTGACATGTGGGTGGAGGAGGCCAGATCTGGCAGCCTGGGTGATAAGTGAAGAACCTGGAGAGTATCTCTGGCAACCACTTAAGGGGCAGTGGAAGTGGGGAGACAGGGTGGGGGGAGAGGAGCAGCAGGTGGGGCAGCCTGTAGGACCCTGCGGGGTGGGGAGACAAGCTGCCTGGAAGCGGGTGGAGGCTGCGGCCACTTGGGAAGGATGTGGGGGTGGGGGGGGACCCCTGCCCAGCTCCAGGGGGGAAAGATGAGGGGAGGAGCAGACATGGTGAGCCAGCAGGAGGGGACTGGACCTCTGGCCAGCACTCGGCAAGAAGGGACAATCCTCTGCCCAGCCTGGGCCCACGGCGGCCCAGCGGTAGAGAGGCTGGGCCTGAATTACTCCAAGTGCGGGGTCAGGCAGGCTGGCAGCAAGTCCGGACTGCAGTGGGGGGCTCGTGGCTCCTGCAGAGGCTCTGAGTCCTCCCTGACTGCAGTTGATGGGAGGTGGCTCCCCGGGGACTGGCATAAAGCCCCTCTGCCCCACGCCCAGCACTCCCCACTTCCACACAACATCCTTGTCTCCCCGCTGACCCGCCCCTCCGTCCTTGGTCCTCAGCCTGACTCACGTTCTTGCCCCGGTCATGGCTGGGCTCCTCCGGGGCCAGCTCACCAACCAGCAAGGGCTTCATGAACTTGCGCACGAAGTCAAGGTCCCGGTGGAAGGCATGAAAGGCGTCCTGGGGAACAGGGGGTAGGTGGTGAGTAGGACCCCAACCTCTGCCTGCCCCCCTATCCGGGAGGGCAGGACTCATCAGCAAACTCTGTGCCTCCTACTCAGGCACCGACGGGGCCTCCCAGGCGCTGGCCACAAATGCTCTTTTAGGCCTCACCCAGGGCAGATGCCTCAGTACTCGGCGCCCACCGTGGTGCCACCAGGGCTCCTGCTCAGATGCGAGGCCGCTGAGCTCACCGAGGGCCGGCGCGTGGACATGCGGGCTGCCTCTGGGGGAGTCGGAACAAGGTGCCCCTCCAGGGAGAGACGCAGGGTGCCGGCACCGGGCTGGGCAGGACCAGGGAAGGACGTGAGCCTCCTCGGCCTCCTCTGCTGGGCGCCTGGGACCCCGCGAGACGGGCCACCCACAACCCTGGCCCTCGGCTATCAATGAGAGGAACAAGGCTGGAGACTGGCACTGCATGGAAAATGTGCTCAGGGGCGATGTTAAGCCAAAAACAAACGCAGAATGAGGTAAAAGCATTTCTTAAAAAAAACAAAAAAAGCTTTTTCAAAATTTGAAAAAGTATGGCATTAATTATGAAAATTATAAAAATATCTTTTATGGAAATCTCTGAACTGTTATCTGTTAAGGTGGTGGCATTATGGCTTGTTTTATTTTCATGACTTTCCAAACTTCGTCTAGTACTGCTCTATTGCTTTTAAAATGGAAAAAAATAATGTTATGCATTTTAATCTTTTTCTGATTATAAAGTAATAACGTGAATAGTTTTGGCAAATTTAATAAATGAAAGGACAGAACAGAGAGGAAAATAAATAGCACCCAGAGAGTGACCGCCGTTGCTCGTGTTTTAGCATATTTCCTTGCCTTTTTTTTTCCATATAGTCTGTACATTTCATAAATTATCTCATAACAAATATAGCATCCGCCTTGGAGATGAACTGCCACCCAGTTCCCCGACGGGCTACAGTGTGATGTCCCCGAGGTCAGCAGTATTCACCCTGCATGAAACCAAGCTTTGGGACTTTGTTAGGACAGAGGAGCAAGTCCAATGACACAAGAAACAGCCAGGGAAATCAATGGAGTGGGGGGGCGGGGGGGAGTGTGTGTGGGTGGGGAGGGGATGTTTACATTAAAAGAGGCTGCGTGAAGAGATAATGAAAAGACACAAAAACTGCAATGTTTCATTTGAAAGACTCCATTTGGTGGGGGAACCACAGCAGTTATCCAAGTCTATTTTGCAGGGGTCCAGTGAGAAAATTTGAATATAGACTGGGTATCTGGTCATATTAAAGAATTATCAATTTTATTAAATTTGATAAAGGTTTTATGTTAGAGAATGTCCCAGTTCTTAGGAGAAGATGACAAAGAGTTTAGGGCTGAGATGGCATATGATACAATTTATTTTCCTATGATTCAGCAAAAGCAAATTGCATGTGCCTAATGAGGGAGAATGTAAATGTGGCAAAAGGCTAAAATTAGTGAATCTTGGTTGAAGCTATACAGGTGTTCACTTATTTTTAACTTCTCTGTATGTTTAGAAATTTTCAAGTTAAAACAACAAGGGAGAAATGGGGAAAAGCTAACAAGGCATAAAAATGCCTTCACTCGCTCCCTCCCCCATCGCCCCACCCGAGTATCTCCCAACGGTAATTACCAGTCTTCTCCCATTTCCTTACTGCATCCCTGGCACCAAGTCCTCTGGCCTGGTCTCTGTTCTATTTGTGTCTAGAGCAGCCCTCAAAGCAACATTTTGTGCAGAGCAAAACTGGGCCCAGAGTTTTTTAAGAAAGGTCTGGGCACCCCTGGCTGAACAGAAAATGGGATGGTGGTAGAGTATCCGATTATGAGTGTTTTCAGAGGAGAGACCTGCTGACATTCCAGGGGTCCTGGGCAGGCGGCGAGGAGGCCTGGTGCCCAGTGCTGACCAGCTGTGCCCACGCTGTGCCGGCTGCGCGCACCCAGCCTCCGCCTCCTCTGCAAAGTGAGGTCCCTCCCAGCTCCCTTGTTCCAAGGCCGAGGGAAAGGCCCAGCACTGCTCCCCAAGTCGGGGCCAGAGCGTTGGTGGTGCTGCAGGGGTCAGAGCTGCCTCCCCAGGTCAGAGCCTAAAAGAGCCCTTTCATTGGTCCTCCTCCCGTCAGACCATGGCCTTTGAAACATGAACAGGAAGTCCTTGATGAAGGCAGCTTCCTGAGGAACAACTGTCTTGTCTGACAATTCAACGGTTACTCTCGACTTTTTGCAGAGAGGTAACATTCAGTACAGCAGTCAGCAGGTGCAGTCAGCCCGCCTTCAGCTCCCTCTGCCCCGCACCAGGTCCAGACCATGCCTCCAGGCCCTTGCCCAGGCGAGGGACCTGCTGGAGCTCTCAGGGGACCTCACTTCCAGGGAAGGGAAAGGCCACGTACCAGGCAGGGAGCCAGAGTCCTGAAGCCTCAAGCACTGCTTGACAATGAAGACCCTGGAGCTCGGGAAGGCGGTGTCCTATGCTCCACGTGGCGGAGCCAGGATCAAATCCTGGTTCACCTGACTCCAGGACTGTCTCCCCACACACCTGACATCTCCTGCCAGCTTAGAAAGCTGGGCGTCGTTGGATCCGGCGGTTTCCTGAGCAGGCCTGGTGGGAACTGCCATGGAGCCCAACAAGCTCATTCTCACACCAGAGCCTTTGCTAGGCTCCTCCCCTCCACCTGGAGCCTGCTCCCGCAGCGTCCTGTGGCCGGCTGCATTTGGATGCACCTCAGAGAGGCTTTTCCCAACCACCCCATGGGAAATAGCCACCCTCCAGCCCCACACTTCCTCTGAGACACGTGATATCTTATTCACAACAGTTATCAAGATCCCAGGCTACATTATGAATAGATGCTCCTTGACTTACGGTGGGGTTAGGTCCCAATAAACCCATCGTAGGTAGAAGATATCAAAATTAGAAAATGCATTCACTACACCTAACCTACTGATCAGAGCTTAGGCCCGCCCACCTTAAATGTGCTCAGAACACACATTAGCCTACAGTTGGGCAAAAACATCTAACACAAAGCCTATTTATTAATAAAGGGTTGGATACTTCATGCAACTTATTATGCACATCACTTTCACAGCACCGTAAAGTCGACAAATCTTACATCATGCCATCATTAATTGGGGAGCATCTGTGCTCACTTTTTATTTATATTTTTATTTTCAGAGAGGAGGAAGGGAGGGAGAAAGAGAGGGGGAGAAACATCGATGTGAGAAACATTGATTGATTGCCTCTTGCACACCCTCAACTGGGCACATGGGCCCAACCCAGGTATGTGCCCTGACCAGGAATCGAAATAGCAACCTTTTGCTTTGCAGGACGATGCCCAACCCACTGAGCCACACTGGTCAGGCTATGCGCCCTTCTTCTTTTTTTGTTTTATTATTTTATTATGCACTTGATAAAAAGTCCAAACACTAATATCCTCCTTCAAGGAAGGGGTTAATTAGGGGAGTTACCTAATTAAGGAATGGAATGTTTGTTACCTGTAACAGGTAGCTGAACTATTTGTTGTAACTGACACCTATCCTAAGACAACTGGTTTGTAAGGGCACGGCCACGTGAAAATGTGGGAACACATGCACCAGGCAATTGCTTGTACCTGTTTCCAGAAGGCGCATATTTCCTGCACCCTTTCTTAATAATTAAAAGCAAATGACAGGAGAACGTATTGTCTCTCTCCCCAATTAGAATATAAACTCCGCAAGGTAAGCCACACCCATCTTGTTTGCAGCAATAACTGCAGGACCTACAACAGTGCCTAACACGAAGGCTCACAGTATTTGCAGGGACCCAGGACCTCACGGTTGTGCACCGCCTAATCCCAGGAGACTTTTCCACTCTGCAATCATTTCCAGACTCTTCTTCCATTTTGCACAACTCAGCTTATGCTTCTGGGACAGCGGAACTCCTCACCTTCTCCCGCTCTTACACACCTGTGGTTGGCAGAGGGGCCACAGGCTGAGATTATGTGGGCTAGCCACCGAGCCACCAGCTTTAGGTACAAAAGCCACTAATCTTTACTAAACTCTGAAACAGGTCCTGTTTTAGAGGTAAGAAGAGCCTGAGGGATACTAAGCGACCGTGCCCCTGGTTACACCCCAGATGTGCTTAACTCTAGAGTTTTCCACTGTTAATACAAAGGCCTCAGTCAACTTGCACTCCCTCTTCCCTGAGAGTTGACTGTTGTGTCTCCCCTTCAAAGTGTCACAGATGTGCCACACACACGTGCAGAAGTTTCCCAATAGCTGTTCCATTACAGAAGTGACTGCTGGTGGCAAAGCCAAGACAGGGACAACCCAGAGTAGATTTTGAAATAATTGGAAACCAAGATCTGTCCTCATCTGACAGGGAGAGGAGTGTAGCACTTTCCAGGAAAAGGCCACGGACACAGAGGCAGAGAAAAGAGTGGCAAACAGGTGGAAAGAGCAGAGAGGACCACGTTCCCAGTAAAGCATGCTGGGGGTAAGGAGCCCAGGCTGCAGGAGGGAGGATCACAACACCCCGATTCTCAACCGGAAGACGTGTATGTCACACTGCCTGGCCTTCACAGCTCCTGCTTCGGCCATCGCCTGGTTCCAATGCCAGCCAACTTCTGCAAGAAGACATACTCCCTGTCCCAGCCCCACGCCAGGCAGAGCTCATAGTTCCACTCAGCTCATAGCTGCCCTGAACACCCAGTGCCATGATTTGTTTCTGGCTGAGTCCACCTTCTCTGCAGAGGAAGACTGGTCTCTAACCCATCTTCACACATCTGGGCACTGAGCCCAGGACTCAGAGGTGCAGGAGGAGCCAACTCCAGGTGCACAATGCTGCAGGCAGCAGCCCGGGGACCCAGGACTCTGGAACACATAGATGGAGAGGGAGAAGCAGAAGGACCTTGCATTCTCAGCTGGAGACAGGGGTGCTGATTTCGTTTCCAAAGCAAGCAGAGATGCAGGCAGGGCAGGAAGCCTCTTATGCCATGTGCCTCCAAAGGGAAAAAGCAACGGAGGCTGGTGGGGGCAGTGCTCTGTGCCCAAAGAGATCTTGCAAGTGTCCCTGATGCCAGGTACATGCACTGCCAGGGGTGGGGAGCATGGTGTTGGGAAGGGTAGGGCTATACAGGAAGTAGTCCCGAGGCAGGTGACCCGAGCAAGATGGGATTACAGCGGAGAGGCCGTACTCTGCGTCTGGGTCGTGAATGGGATCCTCCCTGACGGAGGCTGTAGCCAGCAGGAATTGGACTCGTACCCAGATCTGGCTGAGGAAGTGCAGCTGCCCTCCAGGCACAACCAGGGGAGGAATTTCTATTCCAGTAAATGCCTTTCCTTTTGAAAAAATAGTGTCATTTCTGTTCCCCTTCTTCAGTTTTTTTTCCCCCCTGTTTACTAAGCTCCCCACTGTGCGTGCTGGGAACATACACACGTAAAGATCCCTCACACCTGCAGGGCACTCTGAAGCTCAGACGGTGCCCTCACACAGAGCCAACTTGAGCCTCATAATAACCTTCCCATTTCACAGGCCTGGAAAGGCAAGTTGAAGGTAAGTGTCTTGCCTAGGAATCCACAAATCTGGCGTTCAAATCCATGTCCCCTGCCTCTACTGTGACCTGCTTGTCCTGTCTGAAGGAGGATAGAGATCCCTTCCATTTTCAATCTGTCGCCTTTTCACAAGAACGATGTGGGCGCAGGTTAAAAGATATAATGAATCCTGACCTCTTCTCTCTTCCTCTGGGTTCTAAGAGGGGACAGGGCAGGAAAGTGCTGGACAAGGGGGATGGGAGGAGCTGGAATCTAGAGGCAGAGGGTCCGCATTCAAGTCCCAGCTTGAGACAAAGGAGGGAAGCAAACCAAGCAGATATGGTCACTGTGGGTGGGTTACTCATCCATGTGCCCAGGGTCATGGGAACACTGAGTAAATGTGTGACAAAATTGTAGTTGAAGATTAGAAGTCCCTAATCTGGAGACTGGAGAAAGCTCTGCAGTGGTGGGACTCGGCCAAGAAAAGAGACACCCCTGGGACCTGGGTGAGGGTCCCTTTTGCCCACAGCAAAGCAAAGGCAAGATTGGTGCCACAGGACCCCGAGGGAAAGAGATCAGACATGAAACAGGGAGTGAGAACTCAGTGATGGGAGGTCCTGAGTTCAGGCCCAGGAGCTTCTGCTTGAGCAGGTTTTTAAACCGAAGAGCAATGAGCGGTCAGAAGTGCTTAGAGCTGATCCCAGGGTCGGCTAAATGACAATGTGTATAAATGTGATTTGTAAGCTCAAGAAGTTTAGTAACTTTTATTCTGACAGACAAGGCCAAGACGTTCTAACTTTCTTTTTTCTTTAGTTGTCTTCTTTTTCAATCTAAGGATATGTTTATTCATTTTACAGAGGGAGAAATGTCCATGTGAGAGGGAAATACGGATCTGTACGCACCTGGACCGGAGAAGACCAGGGATCCTTTGGCGCAGCCTTTTGGTGACAGAGATGACACTTCAAACAACTGAGCCACCTGGCCAGGGCAGGAATCTCTGACTTCTGCAAAAGGCCGAAATGGCAATTGCCCTCGCCCTTCACTAGGTCATCTTTCTGGGGGAGAGGAAGTCCTGACTTTCCGCATCTCTTCTTCAGAAACAGGAAAGTTCCCTCCTGAGACCCTGAATTGTCCTAAGAAGAGCTTCCTTGACCTTCAGCCTTTTGTGAGGACCTGACTGCACAGCGATTGCCTCTAAACAGTGAGTTAGAGAGCCGCAGGGGAGGCCACCTCTGTGCGCTGATCCGTCCTCCCCAAACTTGCTGGGCCTGTAGTACTGTTACTCCCCAAACTGAGGCAGCGGGTCCATGCTCCAAGGGGCAAAGTACCTGCTCAACAGCCTAAAACAAAAACTCTCTTGATTCCTAGCCTGTTTCTGCCCCTTCTCTTCCATTCCCCTTCCCATGGCGAAGGGTCGGGGAGAAAGAATATCCAGTTGCTCACTCCACCATTAAACTACATCCCTAGTTAGGACATTTCATGCCCTAAAAATCTGATCTTAGAAGGAAGTAAGCTTTGGGGATAAGGATTGAGCTAGATGAGGGAAGAGCATTCCTGGCCGGGTTTAAAACAGAGGACCATTGAGTTGAACGTCCCAGAGTAACCTCGGCGGCAGCTGGACCTGTTGCCAAGCCAGCCTAGTACTGATTGCTAAATCCACGCGGCTCACGATGACTCTCAACCTGGGCTTTGAAAACTCCAGCCTTTTCTTCTTTTCACCAAGTCCCCAAGAAGGCTGATCCTTGGGGGGAGGTGGTCCTGGGAGTCTTTGAGAGCGTGGGAACAGGAGCTCCCAGGCGGCCTCTCGGAGGCAGCCATTGCGGACCTCCTAAGACCAGACTCCAGGCAGGAGCCAGCCCACGCCGGGAATGAGCTTTCTTTCCCCGCCCCCTAGCCTGGCTGGAAAGTGAGGGACGCGCTCCGGGTCCCACACCTGGCTCCTCTCCGGCTCCGTTCCGCAGCGCCCGGGGCAGCCATTTTTTACGCTGGGGGCGCCAAAGCCCTAGTGCCAGAGCGCCCTCTTTGGGGCTTCCCTGGATCCGGTGAACCAGGTGCAGGAAGAGGACGCGTGGGTCCCAGTGCGTGCGGCAGATCGTGCACGTTTCTCCACCGCTCGGACCTTCACCGTGGCGCTCCCTCCCGGGATCCCAAATCCGGCCCCCACAGCAGGTTGGCCCACCTGTCCCATGGGACAAAGAGTCGGCGCGGGGGACGAGCGCAGTAGACACACTTTCCCTTCTGGGCGCCCCCAAGCTCCATTCAGTAGAGGTTTGGCGCCCTGGGACCCATGGCTCCTGACTCCCGCCTTCGGTAGAGAAAGGTGGCGGGAGAGCTCCGAGACACTTACCGTAGCATCTTCTCCCGCGTAGTGCCCGAGGACCCGGTGGCCGCCCGGGTGCCGTCTGGCCCATTGGGTGACGTTGTAGACCTTGCGGTCGATGACGAACCACTTGTCCGTGCGCAGGTTGTGCTTCTGAATCTCCTCCCAGCTGAAGGTGGGCAACGGCGCCTCGCGGTCAGTGGCTCCCTCGCCCTGGTTCCCCTCCTTCCCCATGCTGCCTACCGACCGGGATCACCAGTGTGTTGCAGCCAGCCGGCGCTGGTGGCCCGAGTGAACGGACCGGCACTCCTCGCCTTCGGCTTTTGTCTTCTCCTATCCCTCCTCCCACCGCGCCCCCTCCCCCAACCTCGACTTTGCTTGGGAGTGTGCTGCCAAATATCCCTCGGGATACCCCTGGCTTCCCAGTGCCCCCAAGAAGTCCCCTTTCTCCGCCCCGCCCTCCGCCCGCCAGCCCGCGGTGGACTTTTGCCACCAGTAAGAACTCTCGGGTGCTCAGAGCCTCGACGCCTCCTCTGCCCGCCCCTCTGGCTCCCCCCGCCCCGTGCTCCGCATCCTCCCGCGTTCCCCGCCGCCCGGGTTTCCACAGTGATCAGCAGAGCGCTTGCACCAATCCGAGCTCGTCGCCCCGCCTGCCATTGGCCCAGGAGGATCTTTCGAAGGCCAGCGGGCTGGAGCAGCGGTCCCTGGCTCCCCCGCCCGCCGGGCCGCGCCGAGTCGAGCCCTGCTGCAAGGCCGGCTACGTGTCCGACCTTCTCCCTCCCCCTGCTCCCGCCCGGCTCTCAGGAGGAGATCCCAGAGGAGCCCGGCGGGCTGGCGAGCGGAGGCGGCAGCCAGGCTCCGCGCTCTCGGCAGCACGTGCGCGCACGTCCCGCGCTCCCCGGGTTTGCACCTGATGCCGCACAAAGGAGGGCTCGGGCCGGCAGGCGGGCGGGTGGGTAGCGTGGAGCCTCCCGGCTGGCGCGCTGCACTTCGGCGCTGGCTTGGCTAGGCGACGGCCTCCCCAGCGCGCTAGAGTCGGGATTCCAAAACCTCCACTTAGCGCTTTTTACAACTGCGTCTTCCTGCACCCTCCCTGGAGGAATGGGCCGTCCTGGGATAATCAGACGATCGTAGAAAAGAATCGCGGAAGCTTTCTTTGCTTCCTTTTGCTAAGCACCATGGTCAGGGAGGAGGAAGCTCCGTTGTGGGGGCCTCAGGGACGCGAGTATGAAAAGGGCACGGTTCTTGTTTTGGGCTCAGGAAGCTCACAGCCTAGTTGGGAGACGAGCATGGAAGCACCCCAGGGCCACACAGGATTAATCGGGCAGTGTTGTACAGGCTCCAGGAAGTGAAGATGGGGGTGTTGAAAGGATAGGTGGAGGGGCAGGCCCCCAGATCTTAGCCGGAAGAAGCTGCTTGCATCAGTGCCCAGAGGAAAGGGCTGGCAAGGAGCCCTAGGGGCAGAGGCTGGCTGAGGACAAGTGGGAAATAAGGATGAACGGAGTGGGGTGGGGTCGGGTGAGGAAGGCCTCGGAAATCGTAAGGCAATAAGGGGTCCTCAGATTTCAGTGGGATGATGTCTTCAGTGGTCCCTGAGAGGTGGCACGCTCTCCTTGTCAGTGACCCACTCCAACCCTGAGAGGTGAATACACCATGTATTGTGTTATATGAACATGGAGGTACAGATTTAGGAAAAATGAAATGGCCAAATGCACAAGGGACACAGCTGGGCCAGTGCAGGCCTCACATTGTCTCTCTCCTAATGTGGTCGGTGGGAAGGAACCATCGTGGAAACTTTGCTGGGGAGCAACCTGATGCAGGGGTTGTGCAGGGAAGCTCGCTTTGGCCACCTGGCGGGGACGGGGGTGGGGGGGGTTGGAGGGGGGATGGCCACACTGGCCCCTTTCCTGCCGTTCCTGCTGCGTGAGCCTGCTCCGTGGTACTGCCATGTCCTTCTGGTATCCCGTGGAGTGTCCTTCATTCCTGCCGCAAACTCCAGGCAGGAAGAGAACAAGGCCTCTGATTTTGAGGAGTGGGAACTGACATCCAAACAAAACCCTCGCTGACGAGCTAAGCAAGGATGAAGCAAGCACTAGGGGCCTGGACTTTTATGCCTGTTGAGGGTTTACTGAAATAGAAACCAAGATTGTGATTTTTTCAAAAGGGGGATTAGCCCAATACATAGATCACTTTCATAAACAAAGTGTCAAAGGCTGTGGAGCTCAGAGGAAGAAGCACTCACTCTCTGAAAGAGAGACCCAGGGAACAGCATGCGGCCAGGGGCTGGCAGGCTGAGAACAGGGCATGTGAGAAGGCAGGTGCTGGGCTCTGAAAGGCAGCCGGGGTGTTTGGGGTAGAGAGCAAGTGTGGGCTGGCCAGTTTGTGGGGTTCCCAGCAGATCTTAGGACTCCTACCCAGGGGAGGCCCTGGGAAGCATTTGCAGACAGCACACATGCGTGAATGAATAAAAGGACAGTGAAGAGTGGCTCTGGTGAGGGTTCTGGGGGGACCTGCCGTGAGCAGGGTTCAAATTGGGAAAGCCTCACATGTTTTGGTAAGGATGGAGGACTTTATCCTGGAGAAGGTGGGAAGATGCATAAAGCAGGAATGTGCTATGACCGGATCTATGGTGGAGAAAGAGATCTCAAGGAGGCAGGCTGGGGCTGAGATGGGGTCGGGGGGACAGACCCTCGAAACAGCAAGGTCAGTTCAGGGGCCATCGCAACACTCCAGGCGAGAGAGGAAGAGGGGGCCTCAGCTAAGAGAAATTTAGGAGGCTGCAGCCCACAGCGGACACTACTGCTTCACCCCCATCTGCTCTCTTCCTACTCTATTATTGATTGCTCTCAGTACTTGGATGAACTGATAAAACTGTTCTTTTAGAGAAAAACTCCATAGGGTCCATCTGACCCGAGTCACTTAGGAAAAGGGGTGTTCTCCGAGGGGGACGAGGTTCCCATGGCTTCCTCTGCCCTTCAGAATCTCTGCCCGCTGCCTCCAGCAGTACCAAGGGCTGCAGCTTCCTGGGGCACTTGCCAGGAATTCATTCATTGCCATCATTGCACTTTGTCAGCATCCAGAGACCCGCCTGCATGGCTGGGAGCTCCCATGTCTTCTCAGCCAAGTGGGTGAAAGGCTGGGCAGAAGTAGAAAGACAGGGCCTGGAGGCATGAAGCCCGTGCCACTGGTCCCCAAAGAACAGGTGAAGGGACTTCCCATCCTGCCCTCAACAAGCAGTCTCCAATGTCTGCTGGTGGATGAGCAGGGTCGCGGAAGCTCCTCAAAGGGAGACAAAGAATGAAAGTGAAAGACACCTAAAGAGGGAACACGATTCAGACGCAGAGCACAGCACAGGCAGGGAACCAGATGGCCGAAGCAGGTTGCTCTTCTTTCCTAGGTTGATAAATATGACCACGTTGCCCCTAATCTTTAAAAAAAAATCTTCAGAGTCGACTTTTTCTCAAGCCGTGGCCCCTATCTTTCGTAGTCCATTCATTATCAAATTTTGTGAGTGAATGAGTAGTCAACCCTGTCTGGGTCTGCTTTCTGTCTCCCATTCATTTCCTGGACCATCACAATCTTCTCTAATTTTGATAGGTTAGGGTGAGCAAAGAACTCAAATAACGAACAATGGCTGGTACAGAAAAAGGATTCAGTATGTAGGTGGTGGTTCTTATCCTTCACATCAAGGCCAAAGGTAAGTATTACTACTCTTTGCAGATGAGAACAGACTTGGTCAGGGAAATAACAGGTCTAGCCCTCAGCCAGAAGAACGTAGAGTTGAGTTCTAGAACGCAAACTGTAGCCAGGGGTGTCCAACCTGTGGCCCATGGGCCTCGTGCAGCCCAGGATGGCTATGAATGAGGCCCAACACAAAATCATAAATTTACTTAAAACATGATGAGATTTTTTTTGTGATTATCTGTCATAATGTCTTTAATGTGTGGCCCAAGGCAACTCTACTTCCAGTATAACCCAGAGATGCCAAAAAGTTGGACACCCTGCTAGACCCTGATCCTATCAAACCTTCTAGAAGCCCCTCTGAAAGGTCACTAGCAAGTTCAAGACCTCTTAAAGGCATCTGGCAAGCCAACATCCCTTCCCTCTTGCAATTTCATGCTCCTTTGCTTCTCTGACCCCGCACAATCTGATTCTAACGTCGGAAACCCCCTTTTGTGTTTCCTCCATTTGCTCCTCTTCTTCCTCCTCCCACTAAATGTTCTTGCCCTCAGCTCACTCAGTATTTTCTCCTTTAGAGACCATATTGGGATGACTCTGTATTTTGAATCTACATCTATTCACCTCCTACTTGTGCAAAGCTGAATGTCCCACTAGCACCTCAAACTCAGTGTCACCTCCCTGAGTCAATGGACAGGTCTCAGCGGATGTGTTCTTTGGGTCCATCCAGGTCTAACCATCACTGTTTTGGGTACAAAACTGAATTTGTCATCTTCCCTTCCAAAAATCAGCCCTTCCCATGAACGTTTTCATTTCTATTAAAGGCATGACTTTTTTTTTAACATTAAAAAACCCCTTTTATTTATTGATTTTAGAGAGACAGAGAAAGGCAGAGAAAGAAAACATCAGTTTTTGTTGTACCTCTCATTTATGCATTCATTGGTTGCTTCTTGTATGTGCCCTGACTGGGGATGGAACCCCCAGCCTCGGTGGATCGGGAAGACGCTCTAACCAACTGAGCTACATGGCTAGGCACCGCTCTTCCTTCCTAAAGTCAATCTCAGAATTTCAGAATGTCTTTTATTTCTCTTCTCTTGTCTTCCACCCTTGCAAAAAAAGTTGTTGTGTTCAATAGATTCTACTTCCAACAGCATTTGCTGTCTGTTCCTTTTATTCCATGCTGCCGCAACTGCCCTGGTTCAGGGTCCTAACACTCAGCCATTGCAGCCACTGCGGCGATGTCATTTTGCTGAGCCCAGCTCTTATTGGACTTCTCTTGCCCATAGTTTCTCATTGCCTAGTGAATTAAGCATGGATAGGGGGAGGAAGAAAAGCACGTACACATTGCTAATGTTCCCCGAAGACATTGGCCTTGCCCAAAGCTCCAACCCAAATGGCAAAAAAAAATTATAGAGGATGTCATCAGAGAGGATGCTGGGGGAAAGTTACCTTATTTTTGTACAAAATCATGGTAGGAACACCCCATGTAGTTCTGATCATGAAATCAACTAATGACTAGGGAGATGTATGTCTTACTGAGAAAGGATGCGTCTCACAAGTCTGCAGCCTGAAAGGGAAACAAGAAATAATGAAGGATGAGCTAAGGGGAAATCAAATGATCAGACATGTGCACTCAATCCTAGAA